AAAAAAAAAAAAAAAAAAAAAAAAAAAAAAAATTGAAGAGACGTCTTCATTATTCACTGCTGAAGTTAACGGGGGAGTGAAATGCCAGTGAGCCCTCTTCCTTGGGCAGGGTAGCAGCCTGGCATGTTTCCCTTCGATCACCTTTCACAGCCAATAGAGAGCTCTAAACTGACACTGCTAATGAGGGGGAGAGTTCACTGTAACTTGAAACCTTTTGGAGAGTGTTTGTGCCCTTGTTTGTTAGATTGCTTTTCATACTTAGGGTTAGCAGTTTAGATTTTTCTTCCTTCCATCCCCTTCTCAGTGTTTAGTTCCATTACCTTTTCCTGACTCTTCTACTCGTTGTTATTTACTGTTATTTTGATGCTTCAAGGGGCCAAGAGTGCTCATGGACGCATGATGCTTGCATCACCCCAAAGCACCTACGGCCTTTGCGAATCTGCCTTTCCCTGAAGATAATCTCGCTGTGGTGGGCAGTCAGGATTTCTGATGAGGTTCCTGGGCAGCAGTGGCTCTGCTTGGTTGACATCCGGGGACCGATGGACCGGTTGAGCCCGTTTGGTCTTACATGGGTGGATTCCGGCCGGGAAAAGTGGATGTTCAGAGAAGTCTGGCGGGGGGAAAACTTAGACGCCCTGCCGTTTCAGGGATCGATGGCCATATAACCCGCTACCCCAACGCTTCCAGTAGAAAATAACGACTCATTACTTTTCCTGATTCTGGGGGCTGATCAGGCAGTTCTGTGTCTGGCGGTGTGTGGGCGAGGAGGCAGGTAGATGTGCAACCCCTGCAGGCCGGGGCCAATTCTCCACGTGGCAGCAGGCCCTCCCGGAAAGTGCACTTCAGGAGGAAGGAAACAGGAGCTGCTAATCCTCTGAAGGCCAGAGCTCAAAAGTCCTGAATGCCGCTTCTGCCACAAGCAGTGGCGCTTTCCCTTCTATCATCAAAACAGTCCCAGGCCAGATTCAAGGGGAAGGAAATAAACACTGGTGGTGGGGTGCAGGGACAACAAGCTGAACATGGGAGGGAATAAATGGAGGGGCTGTGTTTAGAGGCTGGCACACTCGTTATTCCCTAGCTCTGTGACTTTGAGTGCAGGCACTGATCCAGCCCTGGGGCTGCATCCTACAGAAGATGCAGAGATACAAGGTGGGGCGGAGTCAGGGGCTGACCCTTGGAGGGCTACTTGTGGGATAGGTCGGACAGATACTCTCCAGACTCCCTGCACCTGGACAGCTTCCTGAGTCCACGCTCACAACCCCCAGCTGCACAATAGAGGACCTGAGGGTCTGGCCCAGGCTCTGCTGGAGACTGGCTAAGTCCAGCTTTGTCCGTGGGGTGACCGCTGAACTGGACAAGCTAGGAAAGCCAACTTGAAAATATGACCGAGTGACAGCCAACTGGAGAAGTTCAGAAAAAGTCACAAGGTAGGGAACCAGGGTCCACAGGCTCCCTGGGGCTTGGTGTCATCTAACAGGCTATCATAGGTGGCACATGCCTGTAATCCCAGCACTCTGGGAGGCCGAGGCAGGAGGGGCACAAATTCAAGCCCAGCCTGTGTAATTCAGCAAAACTCTGTCCCAAAACAAATAACCAAAACCCCCCACAACAATAAAAAACAAAAAACCTTGGTCTGTACTGCACATGTACAGATGTTTTTTCTTGTCACTATTCCCTAAATAACACAGTACTGTATAGCACTTACACAGCATTTACATTGTATTAGGTTATTATATGTAGTCTATAGGGGTTTTCCCCCTAACATTGGGGATTAAACCCAAGGGTGCTGAGCCACTGAGCTCCAACCCCAGCCCTTTTTTATTTTTTATTTTGGGGTAAGTTTCTCACTGCTTGAGAAATTATTTAGGCTGGCTTCAAACTTGCAATCCTCCTGCCTTAGCTTCCTGAGTAGCTGGGGTTACAGGCATTTGCCACTGAGGCTGGCCATAGAAGTAATTTAAAGGGTATATGTAGGTTGTATGCAAATACTACACTATTTTCTGTAAGGGATGAAGCACCCAAGGGTTTTGGTTGTCTGCTGGGGGTCCTGGAATGAACTCCCCGTAGATACCAAGGGACACAGAGGGAGAATGGTATTAAGCAGTGATTAGAGGCTCCTGTGGGGCAAGCCCTGGTTAGGCACGGGGACTGGAGAGTGGAGGGATACGGAGGGAGAGAGAATACCCCATCTCACTTCTGGGCTGGAGAGCACCAGCAACCAGCTGGCCTGAGGCAAAGAGAGGGGCTCACACAAGCCCCCAGGCACTAATCAGGCCTATGGATCCAGTGGTTAGGGGTGCTGCCCTGTGGATCCGACCTAGGGCTTCATGCGTGCTACCAAGTGCTCTGCCACTGACCCCAGCCAGGAAAAAAGAATCTTACCTGTTATGATTGGACTATGTCTCACCCTGCCCAGCTAAGTTGAAGCCCTAACTACAGTAGATGTGACTGTACTGGGGGGTGATTAAGGTTAAATGGGGCCAGAAAGGTGAGCTGTAATCCAGTAACACTAAGCAAAGAGAGACAAGCAACACCAGAGACCTCCTCGCTGTCTGTGGGGACACAGAGGGCAGATGGCGACCCGCAGAGAGGGGAGGGGCTTCACTGACCCAGCTCATGGGCACCTTGATCTTAAACCTGCAGCCCCCAGAACTGAGGAAGCACACGTGTCCTGGAAGCCTCCCAGTCCGTGGGGCTGCACGGGGGCACTCCCCGCAGCAGACAACGCCCAAGGTCAGCTTTGCCTGTCACGCCCAGCTCTGAGCCTCGGGCCCAGCCAGGTTGCTCCCTGGGTAAACCTTCAGCGGGTGCCCCGGCTGTCTCCCTCCATGTTGCTGTTAGTGCCTCCCAGGTCCAGGCCCGCTTGCCTGCTGTCCCGTCCAGGTTGGGCCCTCCCCGCTCCTTCTCCTGCCCCAGCTTCCCTCACCGGGCTGCCTCCGGCTCCCCCTCCAGGTCACCAGCGAAGCCTCCCTGACTCTTCATGACTCCAGGTGCCCTCTGTCCACACCAGGAGCTCCACTTCCGGCTACACACCGGTGTCACCTGAGGGCTTTACAACTATCCTGTGCCCCCCCTCCCCCACCAAGCCAATGGGAATCATCCAAGTGGGGTGTATTTGTGGATTTTAAAATACGCAGGTGATTCATGTGTGCAGCTGGAGTTTAAGACCCTCATGCACACATCCCAAAAGCTCCTGTGTGGTGAGGGCGGGGAGTGGGTCTGTTTTGCTCATTTGTGAGCCCAGCACCACTCCTCACCAGGCACCCGTCAGGCACTGGTGGGACATCTGCTTAAGGCTCACCCGTCCGCCCGCTGCCTCCGCCTCTGCGGCCACCTCCCACCCACAGCACCCTGAGGAGGCCGAGCTCCCTCCCCAGGGATGGTTCCCTTAGATTCTACAGTCCCCCAGGGCTCTGCTGAAAGGCCGCTCCATTAGGGAAGCTTTCCCTGATCCCTGACCAGGCTGCAACCCCATGGCCCCAGCTCCCAAAGCCCCCCAGACCTTCTCCTGGCCTGGGAATCGGTTCTCTATCTTCTCTGGGGAGTTTGGGGGCTCCTGGAGGCTTGAGGCCTCGCCTGTGCCATCCCCAGGGCCTGACACAAATGGTGCCCAGTGGATTACTGTTGGTTGGTTGAATGATTTCTATACCCAGGTGTCTTTAGTCACTCAGGAGACTTTAGCCTGGGCCCAGCAGATGCCCCTAAAAGGCTAACCCAGGGCCGTGATTGATGGGATCAGATGACAAAACTGCTCTGCAGGTGCCGGGGGCTCTGGAGGGCAGAGGATGACACCTCTGCAATGGTGAGGACTGTTGGACTTTCTCCAAGGTGCATGAGTGGGAGGGCACCTGGGGAGGGCATCGCCTGTACACTCATAGCACTTGCTTCCACCCGTCTAGAATGGTAAACGGAAGCAACTCCAATGCCCGCCTCAATAGGTGGGGTGAGTTGTGTCCCTCCAAAAGACACACTGAAGTCCTACTGTGGGACCTGTGAATGTGACCTTATTTGGAAATAAGGCCTCTGCAGATGTCATCAAATTAAGATGAAGCTAACCATTATTTCTCTGAAACTCAATTCTAATTAATCAGGTTATCCTGTGTTTTTAGTGGACAAAGGTGGAGACCCTAGCTGGGAAGGAGAGGAGAAAGTACAGGAGGACCCACAGCTCCCCAGGTGTTTGATGGTGGCTCCCCTGGGCCCTAAGGTGGTGGAAACCAGAGCAGCAGCGGGGACCGTGGCACAGGGCCTGTGCTGGGCGGTGGACCCGGACTTGTGAAGCCCTTGCGATGCATGGAGCCCTACGATAATAACAGGAAGATGAGAGGGCAGAAGTCTGGGTGACTCACACCAAGGCCACCTTGGGACTGAGGGCATGGCAGGGCCGACACTGGCAGGTCTGAAACAAGGCTCAGGTGGAGCGTGCGGGCCTGTGACCCAGGGAGTCGTGGAGGCTTCTGGGAGAAAGCATGGATGGCCCAAAGGCCCCCCAGACAGACCATGGGAGGCCCTCCCTGGGGAAGGGCATGATTATCAAGGACAGACTTTTCAACGTCAAGGCCCCAAGGCTGCAATGGGGACCTGGCAGGGGCTTCTGGGATCCACCTCTCCTCTCCTTGGAATAGCAGGCTAGAACCAAGGACGCCCCCAGCACCAGCCACCCCAGGCATCGCGCTGTCGGGCCCGCCCTTGGTAAGGGAGATGTCAAGCGAGCCCAGAACCAGGAGGCAGGCCTCGCCTCTTCCGCCATCCTCCCCCAACCACAGAAACTCACAGCAAGTCAGGCAAGAAAAGCCAACGGTTTATTTACACCTTGTCTGTACATGACAGTTCCCTGGAAGGTGCCTGCCGTGGACAGCCTGCTCCCTTCTGGGGGGAAGCAGGCTTCAGGCGAGAGCTCAGGACCCGGGACTCAGCCTTGGGGCCTCAGCCCACACTGCCCTCCCCAGGACCGGAACGTGGACGTCCCACTCTAGCCCCAGAACTGTTCCCAGACACAGGCTCCTGGGGCAAAAACACCCAGGCTGAATCCCATGGAGAGTCAAAAGCAAGCTAACCAACCCCTGGCCAATGAGGCCACGTGGGCAGTGTTTTTGGCCTGGGCCCCAGGAGACCCGGCCCAGGTGAGAAGAGCTGGACAGAGGGAGCTAACGGGCTGAGTCCGCTCGCATGCACCGTCCCCTTGAGTCCTGACAGTCTGGTGTTATTAATGGCACTCTGGTCTGAGCACCTTCGGCAGACGAGGCGGGCTGGGCAGGAAGTAAGAGCAGGCAGGGAGAGCAGCAGTCTCTTCCTTCAGCCCAGCTGGGCCCGCAGCTGTTCTATGCACCAGAGGCTGTTGCCTTTTGCCAAGCACTGGGAGCCACACAGCCAGGGCCCCCTCTGGAGGCAGAGTGGGTACTGTAGCTGCTGCAGACCTGTGACGTCCCTGCTGGGACCAGTGCCCCAGATTCGAAGTGTACTCTGCCGTCTATAAATATCCACATCAACACAGGAAGAGGTGTGTGGGAGACGCTGCATTACACAAAGTTACCCACTTCTGGGAAGCAAGGCTTCTAAACTACCTGCGGGCTGGATGAGGGACTAGGCACCCTCACGCTTAAGACAACGATGAAAAATTCTGTACAAAGTGTCTACAAGACTGGGTGAGCCAAGGGGAAGTGGGGCTGACCCTCAGGGTAGATGTGCCTGCGAGCAAGGCCGTACACGGTGGAGGCACGAGGCTACAAAGCAGATGCGCGTTACACGTTTCCAGGGCTGGGGAGAGGAGAGGAGAGGAGACATAAAAAACGGGCAGTGGGTCATGAGGAGAATCCTGCACAGAGGTGACGGAAAAAGGCACACGGACAAGGACCCCAAACCATGCAGACAAAAATCACAGCCTGTGCAGCACAGCAAAGCGGACGGTCCCAGCAGGAGAGAGACAGGGTCACCCCCGGGACATCAGCACTCAGACCTGCAGGAGGGGTGGCCTGGGATGCCATTCTCAACTGGGCTGACATCCCAACATTACAGTCACAATGGAGGAGGGGCCTGCGGGGTTGGGGCAGCGAGGTCACATGGGAAGCCTCGTACTCAGGAGGGATGGCGGCGTTCCCCCAACTGGGTTCCGCGTTGAGGAAGAAACTTCTTGAACACAGCTGTTTTCTCAGGGGGCAGCTGGGGGATGGCAGAAGGGCTGTCTTGCCAGGCGGGGAAGGCAGGCCCGCGGTTTTATCCCTACTGCCTCCCCTGCTGCCCGTCACCACCGCACACAGAGCAGGATGTCAGGACCAGGAGGTCCCTAAGATCAGTGCTCCAAGTCACCTGGTGAGGGCAGGGCCCCTCTTCATTTGAGGCCTTCTGTGAGGCACACCTCAGTCTTACTAGCCTTAAATGCCACTCAGAGGGGAGACCATGGGTCCCCAAGAGGGAGCCTGGGAGTAAAGACCACGGAGGCGGCCAGCACCACAGTCCTAAATGGCCCCTCCTCAATCCAGACTCCACCTTGGCCCTCCGCAGGGTCTCTGGGGATCTTCAGATGGTAACCACCCCAACTGTCCTATTCCAATCACACGTAGTTAGGGTTAGAGCGGCCCACGTCTCACCGGCACAGCACAGCGAGAGGACCCAATTTCTCCCTGCCCTACCAGGCCTTGCTGCAGGCTCTGGCTGCTGTTGAGCCCCTCACTGGGTCAGAGCCTTGTTAGGCCAGGGAGCGGACTGGCCAGCAGACTGGCACCGGGAGCCTCCAGGGCACAAGCAGGCTGCTGGCTGGGAAGAGCGCAGGCTTCCCTCAGTTGCCGTCAGGAAATGGGCAGAATCCACAAAGCCAGTGTCCCCTCCTGCTCTGTGACACAAACAGGTGGCCGCTGTGGCCATCGCTCATAGGGACAGCTCTCGGCGACGGTTCTCCTCCCACTGTGGAGTGAGTCTTGTCAGTTTATCCCAACACGTCACGTGCGACTCTGGGGGAACCAGGTAGAGACCCTGCCACCCACTCAGGCTTGCTAACCTCCTGGCTATCCTGAAGGCACTTGGCCTCCTATCCCGGGGCAAGGACCACTCAACATTACCACCACAGGAGGAAGCCACCATTGACTGTACCCGCAGAGGACCTGCTCTTCTCTAGCCTTGGCTCAGCAAGCCCTATTTCCTCTCCCTCTGGCCAACCACCTCCGGAATAATGGGGTCTCACCTTGAGCTGCACCTCAGCATCACTGGGGAGGTCTGCACAGGTCCCGATGCCAAGGCCACACGTACATCAGTTAAATCTGAACCATGGGGTGGGGGTGGGGAGGCAACCCAAGCATCAGAACTGACTCCAGTGACAGCCAGAGCTGCAAACCTCTCTTCCGGGACACAGCGCTTCAGGAGGTTCTTGAGCTCTGTCTTTTTACTACATCAGAAATGAATCAAGAGAAAGGGATTTCCCTGACAATTCTCAAATCTACCAGTTTAAAATAAATGGACCTACATTTCACTCTGGCCCATGCAAAGTTTAAAAAAACTTCGTTTGGCCTGCAGGTGAATGTAATGGCAGCTCCATGTCAGGTAAAATGTGCCTGTTTTCTTTTTGGTACTGGGGAGCAAAACCAGAGCTATATCCCCAGGTCTGTTTTTTGAGATAGGGTCATGTTCTGTTGCCCAAATTGTTCTCATACTTGCAATCCTCCTGCCTCAGCCTCCTGAGTAGCTGGAATTGCAGGCGTGTGCTACTTCACCTGGCTCAAAAGGTCCCTCTTCTACACCCCCCCCCACTTCCCTCAATTGTAGAAAAATCACCTATAACTTCAGGCAAATTTCTGGTAATTCCTATTTGTTAGGGTTGCCAGGTTTGGCAACAAACAAAAATAGAAAATACCAAACTTCCCAGAAAAGACACTCAGATAAATTAAGAGTCAGCTGGAGCACTAGTAAAACACTTCAAGGCCTGAGCCACACCTATACTAATTAAACCAGAACATCCGGAGATCTGAATTTTTAAAAGATAATTTTCAATACGTCCCAAGTATGGCATAGATCATATTCTGAAAGTTAAAAATTATGCGTTGTTCAAATCTATCTTATCCGGCACAGCTTTGGAGCCTGCCCCAGGGGCTGAGGAACAGTCCCAGGGGCTGAGGAGACCCTGGGCTCTCTGCCCCCTCTGGTTAACTTTCAAGCCCAGAAGTGCATTTAAGACATACATGGTCTGAAAAAAACAAGTTGACTGATGAGATTTCGTAAGACATACGTTCTGGTTGAAGGCAGTAAGGCTGGAATTAACTGGAGGTGTGCTTCATGGAATTCAGTTCCTCGGTTACAAGGCCCTCTTCCACAGGCCTCTCTGGCACTGGCCTAGGTCTAGGTGGCTTTCAGACTGCACCTCCTGGTGTAGTCCATTCCCCATAGGGAGGAGCAGGCAGAGCAGTGCAGGCTGACAGCTTCCCGCCCCCTTTTCCCATAGCAGATTCCTTTCTATATTGACTCTGACCATGGCCTCTACTGCCAGCTCTGGAAATTTGCATCAATGCAGCTTAGGAGCATACACAATTCCATGTGTAAAATACTCATCTCTGGGCTAAGCCCTTCACGGACCAGAACCCTGACTTCACTGGCTTCTGAAGGCCACCTTCCAACAGTGAACCTAGCCTGACACCATGATCTGTCTTTTATCTTTAAGTCATGGCCTTCTAGCAAATTCTCAAGACACCCACTCCTCAGGGGGTCTTTGCCTGTGTCCTCTCAGACCCTTGGGGGAGCCTAAGGAGACCTGGATACCAAGAGCAAAGGCTCCCAGAGACCAGTCCTCCCAGTCTGCTGGGCGTGGGTGGCTCCAGTCCTGGGAACACCAGTGCAACCCATTATTTGAAGCATGAAACAAACCCCACACATATGATTAAGAAGGAATCATGAAATCTAACAAAAGCACAAGTTGACTGGAATGGTATGAAGACTGGTCCTGGCCGCAGCCCTGTCTCTGTCAGGCACGGAGCACAGCCAAGTCCCCCAGGCCCTTCTTCGACCTTCCACGCCCTCCCTGCCCTGCACACACATCTCCGGCACCTTCCCAGCCCCAACCTTGCTTCTTACCCTAGATGTGCTTAAGAATACAAAGAGCTGCAGGGAAAGAAATAAACCACATGTTGTGTGTATTGATTTGGGTTAAGGAAACAAATCACAAGCTATATAAAATTGAGATAAAATGGAAAACTCAAAGGCAAGTACCGTATCTACTCCCAGCCCTTGGAACAAAAGATCACATTAAAAAATCCCTGGTGTGAATTCCCACCGCAGGTCAGAAGGGTGGAAGACTAAGGTTTCCCTGCAACTCTGCCAAGTGCGCCCTCAAGCCCCTATGCAGCAGCACTCCTGGTGGAGAAGCAGACACAGGTCTGCTCCTCAGGGCTGGAGTGGGGGCCTTGTTACTTCCCAGGGGCACCCAGAGCCTGCACTCCCAGACCCTGCCGAGACCAGCCCTCCGCAGGCCGTGTGGAGCCGCGGTGGGCGGGATGGGCCTCAGCCATGTCAAGCTGGGGAGCGGGCTCCTCTCCGGAAATCATTTCTTTGGTTGCCTGTGTCCAACACTGGCCTCACACGCCTCCAGGTCCCAATCTTCTTCCTCACCTTCTTTTTCATTCTTTTATTTTATACCCAAGTGAATGGTCCTTATATTTCACTGTTTTAAAAACAAAACTAAAACAGAAAAGGGAGGTAGGTAAGCAGGGATGGAGAGGGCACAAAGAACCTAAAAATGCCACGGACGCTACCAGAGAGGGAGGCCCGTGCAGCTGCCCAGCGAACCCGCGTCCTCCGGTCCCGTGCACCCCAGCCACCCCGGGCCCCGAGGGCAGGAGCTCCCCCAGCGCCCCTTCCTCCTCACCAAGCTCCAACACCCAGATGTGAACAGCAGCCATGGAGCCTGGCGAGGGCGACCCAGCTCCTGGCGCTCCCGCCCCAGCAGGTCGGGTGGGGTGGGCGCTGTCTCACTAGGGCGTTTCCTCATCCTCCTCCCCAGAGGTAGAATCATTTCATCCAGTATCTCAAACACGTGCTTCCAGTTCTCCTTATTACGGTCACTCCCAAGAGCACGCCCGCCCCTGCACTTCCAGCACCCTCGGCCCTCGGCAAGGGGCCCAGAGCATGTAGAACAGCTCACTGTGCAGGTGCCGCTCACAACCATGGCCCCACGCTAACACCCCACCCTCCCGCGTACACCAGGGCACGGTATGCGTGGTGGTCAGAGGTACATTTATGGCGTGAGTGTGAGTGTGCAGCCGCCCTGTGTCCTCAAGCAGGCCTGCCCCTTGGTCCCAGGTTCCTGAGGCTGCTCTGCAGCTAGCCTGGCTCAGTGTTTGATCTCCAGGATGGAGGGGTTGTGGTCCAGGATGGCTAGGATAATCTTGTCCATGTACTGCCTCAGCCGGAAGTTGATCTCCTCCTGCTCCTTTAGGGCTTCCATGAGCTGGAAGAACAGGAAGGGTGGTCAGGGGCCCGGCCTGGGCCGAGGTGCGGTCCGATGACGAGAAGGGCCCTGGGTGAGGCGGCCCCTGGCCAACCTCAGCACTCAGAGGCCAAGACCAGAGCCTGTGGCAATGTAACCGGTTTGTGGCAGGGCCAGGGTGCAGGTAAACCTTCATAAAGGTGGGGAACACTGCCACAGGTATTTGTAACGGACAGTCACATTCACGGTCCCAAGACTAAAGACTCCTGGGGCTGCCAGCTTCGTCCTCTGCCTGAAGGACCCCCTCTCCACCCACCCCAGGCCTGCCCTGGGGCAGCTCTCAGCACACTCTTTAGAGTGCTCCTGCCCTGCTGCTCTGCCCTGGGCTGGTGCCAGTTCCCTCGGGGACTCCTTCAGGCCAGAAACCACCCCTGAGCTCTAAAACCAGGAGGAAGGAAGTAAGGACAAGGGGTCTTCAGTTCCCCTTGAAACAGGCATTTTGGGATCTGTGACAGAAAAAGTGGCTCGTGACCCTCTGAGGCCTGGGTCCCTCTCCCTCCGCAGCTGGAGGAGCCTGTGTCCCTGAGATGCCACACAGCCCCAGAGCTCGCTAAGTGAAAACGTCTGCCAACAGGAAGCGCGGGTTCCCCTGCCCGCTCGGCAGCACAAGTACCCTGATGGGTCTCCGCAGAGGAAGGTGCTGGGCTGCATCTGGGCTCTGGGCAGCCTGGCGCTCGTAGTCCCGGAAGGGAGGAAGGGGCAGGACGCACACAAAAGGGCCAGACCCCACAAGAAGCAAGAGGACATGACTACCTCGTCTCGAGAGGCTGTGTCTATTTCTGCAGCCAGAGACTGGGCTTTGGTCTGGGTGGCAAAGAGGTTCTTCGCTTCGTAGAGGCTGAGGCTCAGGATCTGTCCATTCAGGTCGTCGTTCTGATCCCGTAGCTTGTGATTCTCCTGCAGAGACAGGAAGAAGGTAACATCAGGTCCCAGAAGCACCTGGAGCCCTCTGCAACCCACTTCTCTGCATCCACTGTCTCCGATGGCCACCAGTACCCTCCCTGTGTGTCATGGTCAGGCCCAGTGGCCTACAGATATGCGGCCTTTGCTAGGTGTTGGGGTGGAAGGGCTGGGTGCTGGTCTAGGGGCCTGGCATCCTGTGAGCTCATGGGCTTGGAGGAGGAGTTTTGGCCCCACTCAGAGGAGCCATGTCTCCCTGAGCCAGGCGCATCGCTGGCCATCCCTTCCTGCCCAGGGATCACCTTGCAGCCCTGAGCCCTGCTGAGGCAGCGCTGCTCTGGCGTCTCTGGGCTGGCAGATGGCTCACCCCCGTGGGCCCTCAAAGCCAGGCTCTGGACTCCCCATCACTGCGAGTTGCTCGGGGCGCCTCTGCTCCTGGGGACAGCTGACCCCAGGGTCACAACCCCAGGCTCCACCTCCTGCCTAAAGGTACCTAAGGCTCACACCTGAGATCTGGGAGCTCCTCCTGGATGGGCTGGGTTTAGAGTCACTAAGGGCACCCAGCCTGACCAGCACCTCTGTGACAGGTGGTGACGTAAACTCAGAGGTGTGACTTGGGCCACAGCCTCCAGCTGCAGGGTCTGGCTGAGGTGGGGGACTTGAGCAGACTTCAACCCCCCACTGGGCTACTGCTCCTTCCTGACCCGCTCCCTCACCCCCGGACTGGTTTCTAGTGAAGGCAGAGTTACCAGGAACTCCATGAAATGGGATCTCGGGCCTTGGGTCTGCTTCTGGAGACCCACCCCAGTCAGGCACTAATCTGCAGCTGGTGTCAGCTCATTCTCACCCCACGCACCAAGAGCAGGACAGTAGTATGTCTTCCTTTTTGTGGACACAAGAGAAAGATCCTGGGGCCCATCAGATAGCCAGAGCTGTTGCTTGACCTGAGGTGAAATGACCAGCGGCCCTGATAGTTTGTCACAGGGAGTAGACAACACTGAGTGTGCTGTGTGGGGGGGGGGGGTCCCTGCACCAGAAGCCCACAGTCTTGCTGGGTACGGGCTCCCGGGCCCACCTGCTTCAGCCGCTTGACCTCATGCTCGAGCTCCACCTCTCGGGCCCTGGCGTTAAACTCGCCCAGGCTGGAGGAGGAGTTGCGGCCCCTGCCCGTCCGCTCACAGTCCAACTTGTACATCTGCAGGTGCTCTAGCTCCTTCCGCAGGTCCTCGATGAGCTGTAAGGGAGAGAGGCCAGTTGGTGGAAGCAGGGACACCGTGGGGAGCCCTGGGAGCCTCGGGCCTGGGACCCACCTCCTGCGTTGCCTCCCGCTCCTTCTGGAACTCGAGGCGATTCTGCCGGAGCTTGTCCATCATGCGCTTGTACAGGTCCATCTCATCCTTGAGCCGCAGGCTGGTGTCCTCCAGCCGGTCGGACATGCGCTGCCGCTCCTGCAGCCAGAGACCGGGTCAGGGGAGGAGAGTTTCCATACAGAGGCGCATTATGCCCAGGCACTTCCCTGGGGAGCTATCGGACACCTCGAGTGACAGAGCGCTCTGAGTCCTGGCTTGCAAAAACAGCCAGGTCCCCTGTAATTCTAGAAACAGCGAAGAACATCTCAGGCCTCTAACGTCATTCAGTGGTGCAGGACTATAAGGAGTACACTGCACACATTATATATTCACTGTAGAAAACTCAGTGAGTCGGAAATAGATACACATCATTATTCACATTATTTTTTTGCAGTTTTCATGGTAGGGCAATTTTTTTAGAATTGCAGAAAGTATAAACCAAAGGCCCCTCCCTCACGGTCAGCATTGCTTCTCTGTGGATTTGGTCCTTGCCTGGACCTGCTGCTCACCTCGTCCAGCTTCTCTGTTTGAGACTTGAGTCGAGACACAGTTGTTCTAAGCTCGGTATTTTCTTCCTCTAATTGCTGCACCCTGGGGAAAGAAGAAAGACATAATCTCAGGAACGCTGAATGGAAATAATCTCACAAGAGAATGACAATGTGCAGCTCTCCACTGCAAGGCAGGAAAGGGAAAATACACACACACACAAAATCCAAAACAAACTAAGAGAAACAGAGACAAGCCAGGCATGGTGGTGAACACTATAATCCCAGCACTCAGGGGGCTGAGGCACAGTGAATTCAAGGCCAGCCTGAATCGCATGGCGAGACCCTACCTCAAGAAAAACAAAAACAAAAATAACCCACCCATCCTGCAAAAAAGAAAGAAAATATTAAGGCCAGGCTGGTGGTGCACAACTATAATCCCAGCACTGGAGAGGCTGAGGCAGGAGGATCGCTGTGAGTTCTGGGCCAGCCACGACTACAAAGTGAGTTCAAAGCCAGCCTGAAACCCTGTCTCAAAAAGACAAAAAAGAATAGCTATGTTGAATGATAAATACATGTTAAACACTCTTAATCCAAAAGTCCAAAATGCTCTGAAATCCAAACATCCTGTGCACTGACATGATCCCACAAATGGAAAATTCCACATACCATGAGACTGTTTCATACACAAATTTAATATACTGTATAAAATTACCCTCAGGCAATATGCATAGTTGTACACGAAACATAAATGAATCTCATGTTTAGACCTGGGTCCTTGTCCTGAGATATCTCATTACACATATGTAAATCTTTAAAATCTGGGAACAAAACAAAACAAAACCCTGAAATCTGAAACACTTCTGGACCCAAGCATCATGAATAAAGTATACTCCATCTTTATACCCTTGGACTTCCTGTCAGCCAAAGCAAAATACTAATAGTACTCTTATTTTTTCATCCTTTTTTTTTTTGGATTTTCTCCGGTACCAGGAACCGAACTCATGACCTTGCGTTTGCCAGGCAGGCGCTTTGCCGCTGAGCTAAATCCCCAGCCCCCTTATTTTTTCTATAAAAGGAAACATTTGTTGGTGAATAAGAAGGTAGTGGGTTGTTTTGTTTTATTTTGACAGTCTTGCTTTGTAGTGTTGGCTGGCCTGGAAATCACCATGTAGCCCAGACTGGCTTCAAACTGGTGGCGATCTTCCTGCCTCAGCCTACTGAATGCTGAGATCATGGGTAAGTGCTGCTATGCCCTGCCACAAGGTAGCATTCTTTTCCCATGTATCCTTTGAAGCCTGAAACAACACAAAGCGGGGGAATGTTTTTCCGCTAGACTGAGTCTTCCTGTGGCTGGCTGTGACAGGCCCACCTGTCAGAATTTGCCTTTTGAAGGCAGTGGCCACACGAGCTCTCCATTCTCCTGCCCCAGCATCTCCCACAGGTGTGGTTTGTGCAGTGCACCCACTGTAGCCGCCCCAGAGGCGCACAGGCCCTGGCTCCTCTGGAAATACCCCGGGAGTCAGTGTTCACGCAGGGTTGTCCGCAGTGATTCCATGGGAAGACAGAGCCTGGTATTCGGGTGGGTTGGCAGTCAGGGGTGTTGGACGGTCAGCGTGCATAGGGCCATTTCTGGCAGACTCCTGCAGCGCATCCTGAGACCAGCATGGGTTCCTGGCCTCTGCTGCTGCCCTCTGAGATCCCTAGCAGACACCCCAGGCCAGCACCAGAGAGAAATTCAGATCCTTCAGGGAAGGTGGCACAGACCTGAACGAAGCTGCTACCTGTGACTGGGTGACTCAAAACACCAAGTGCGCGATGTGCAGGGACAGCACCCTGAGGGGCTGCGCAGAGGGCACGCGTTAGGAGAGCTCCTGGGAGCTGGCTTTCTGCGCTTCGTCCTCTGGCCACACTCAGGCTGTCTTCTCCCAGCTGGGGCTGCAGGCACCCCTGCCTGGCCAGCACCCGCGCAATGCACACACCAAGTGCTATGAACAGCAGCTTTTACAGCACAAGCCCAAATGTAAAATGCACCCTGCTAATGAGGGTGACAAAGTAGGTGCCAGGCACAGGGGAGTCAGGAAAGGTGCCTCACATAGCCCACTGCTCAGCACTCTGCTGCCAGGCTCCAGGACACCTGCACAGAGCCAGGGGCCAGCGGCCAAGGAGCACCAGGACACAGAGGGCTGGGGCCAGGCAGCTCTGGGCACCAGCAAGGCGCGAAGGGCCTCACAGCCTCACCATGTGCAAGGGTGCATCGGCTCCCCTTTCCCCAGGCTCGGCAGGGCAGACGGAGGGACGGCAGAGGGGAACACGACAGTGCGCCTGAGTCACAGGGCTAACGGGGAGCCAGCCCAGACGGCCAGCCGGTGCTGCCCATTTCCCGGTGCGCTTCAGCTTTCAACAGTGAAGCCACGCGTGCACCTGAGGCACAGTGTCCACAGGAAACCCAGACTGGTTTTCCACTCCCCTTGGCCTCTGGTCCGGCTCCATCTGCCCAGGAATTCAGGGTCATGAGGATCTGACACCAGGGGGAGCTCCAAGTCTAGACATCAGACTAGGCCAAAACCTCTAACCTATTCAAGGGTGTTTTTTGGAGACAATGTTTCCCCTGGCTGGACTTGAACTGACTTTGTAATCCAGGCTGGCCTTGAACTCACCGTGATCCTCCTGCTTCAGCCTCCTGACAGCTGGGATGACAGGCATGTGCCACCACGCCTGCTCTAACCTATTTTGGACGTCTGCACTGTGCCCTTTACCTGACATAAGGACTCGTCTCTGTATTCCCTAATGAACGCACCACGCTTACGGCGTCGAAGTGGAAATGGTGGGACCAGGGGCTCAGTTCTTCCATTGACGTAACGGGCACACAGCCTCTCCTAGGGCTGAGGCTGCAGGGCTCATGGAGGCGGAAGGGTGGGGCACTGTGTACCTGGTACTGAGCAGCTCCAGCTCTGTGCTCTTCTCCCGCTCCAGCTTGCTGTAGGCCTCGCGGTGTCGCCGGGCCTCCTCCTCCAGCGCCTGCTCAGCCGTGGTCTCCTGGTCCTTCACCATCTCCTCTAGCTCGTGCACTCTGAGGAGGGGGCACAGCTCACGGCATTTTCTCGTGGCCCACGTGGGCTCACCCCAACCCAGGCTGTGGCACAGGGAGCCCCAGGGTCCCCCCAAGTCCGAACGTGTCTACTGAGGGAGGGGGCGAGGTGTTTCCCAGACTTGTGGGCCAACAGCTTTGCTGAGAGGTGAATGAGGAACCCTGACATCTAAGACATCTAAAGAGAGGTGTGTCCCTCACACACACCCAGAGGCACAGACGACAGGTGGCCGTGAGACGGGACAGCGCAGGGAGGAACAGCGGGCCTCGCCACACTGGACACAGTCTCAGGCCTCACCTCCTCTGTGCTCTGCTTTCCTGGCCAGAGCCCCTCTGCTCAGTAATTTAGCTCACTAGGCACCGTGACTCCAAAAATGGGGACATCCTAGCCAGTGGCCCAACATTCCAGACCTGGAAGTGGGCCGGGCCCATGGGTGGTTCTAAGCCCACTACCTGTGGCCTCCCTGGCCTGTCAGTCTCAGGCGCCTCTCACTGCCCACAGTCCCTCCACCTGGCCGACCTGGGCCGTATGAAAGGGCCCACTCTGGGGTCCCACAAGGTAGGGGACCAGATCCCACACCAGCTCCCAAGTTTCCTGCATCTGAAGAGGATGACTAAGTCCACACCCACTGCCGCACCGCCACAGCACTGGGAACGTGACCTCCGTGGGCCTCCACCCATGGCAACGCCTGGGCCCCTTCGCGGGGCTCTCCCTCCGCAGCACTCGTCCCCAGGAAGGCCCGTGTCAGTGCGTGCAGTGAGTCAACAGGTCCCAGTCCCGTCTTAGAGCAGTCTGGACGCTGCACACCTGGGAAGTCCTTTGGGCCTAGAGTCAAAGCCAAGCTCCTGAGGTTACAGCTCCAGCCCCGCATCCCCAGAGCAAAGAGCCCAGCCTGACCTGTGCACCAGCTGTGTATTCTCCTGCTTCAGCTTGCTCTTCAGGTCCCCGCTGGTCAGGCTGTCGTTCTCCAGTTCCGTCACCTTCTTTTCCAGGAAGCTCACCTGCAGCAGTGGGTAGGGGTGGGGTGGAGGGACTTCTGAGGCCACAGCACTGAGAAATTGACATTCACGACCGAGACCTCTAGGTGACCACACATGCACAGGACAGTGTGTGTGTGTGTGTGCGCGCGTGTGGGGGAACCATGTGACCTGTGCCCCTATTCCCCCCGGGCAGGTACAGGGTCTCCCAAGTCTCCAGACAGCAGCCTGGAGTGCTCCCCACTGCCTCCATCAGTGTGCACACATGGAATCCCCTCCTTCTACATCACACAGGGCCTACCTTCTCTGTGATGTCATTGTCACAGGAGTCAATGCTGTCACGGAACAGATCCTCTGTGCTGCCGTTACTGCTGCTGAAGTTGCTGTTGTGCATGAGCTGCCTGCAGGAGTGGGAGGGCAGCGGTTGCAGAGGCCCCTCAGAGCTGGGGGTGTGACGCAGGCTATGGGCTGGGCAAGCACCTGACACCAGTCTGCTAGGAAGCCCCAGTGAAGCAGCTGGCCCTTACTCAGCCACAGGAGGAGTGGGTGGCCTGAGCTCCACATCCGATAGAGTGTGTGCTCAGCGGATGGCAGAGGGGCTGCTATGTCCATCCCTCCTGAGCCTCTGCCAGCCACAGCCTCTGATCAGCTCCTTCCTGCGGCCTCTGAACACTCTTCACCCCAGTGCTAGGCAGCAGCTACCAAGCGAGCACAGCTGACCTCAGAGGCCCCCATCCTCCAGCTAGAAAATGCCACGGAGGCAGCCTGGATCCACAGGCCTGGCCCAGGGTCAGGGCTCCTTGTACGACATGTTCCCCTCCTCTGTGCTGTCTATCTGGGGAAACCTTAAGAGGGTGAGAGGAAGCACCACCTACTCCTTGCAGGGCACCGAGCTGAGGGGTGAGAATGAAACAGGTGGACACTTGAGGTCACCCCTGGAAAATTCCAGCGGCACCCTGAAGTGACACCCCTTTCCGTACTCCCCGACAGGCAGCAGCCAGGGTCTGGGCCACATTAGCTCTGGGCTACAACCTGGGCGCTGTGGCCGCTCCTAATGCCCTGAGTGTAGACTGGGCAAGTCTGTAAGGATTTCCCCAGCGCAAGGTGCCCTCTCTGATAGGGGGTACTGCACCGGGTCTCTGTCGGCAGGAACCCAGCTCCTGCTCCAGCGTGGAGGGAAGGGCACTGGCAGCTGGGGGGCTGTGTCTCTGGCACCCCGCAGGTCACCCAGGCTGTTACGACAGCTTGCAGATGTCTGGTGGGGGCAGCCGCGGGTCAAGGCCAGGGAGGAGGCTGGCCTTCCTCCTCACAAGCAGACCTGGCTGTTCTGTCACACCCTGGGGTAGCCTCACACCTCTCTGCTCATTCAGCCACACACGGCACAGGCTGGGTTTGGGCTGATGGCATGGAGCCTGGGCCCTAGGCAGCAGGGGCAAGCGAACAGCAATAGCTAACGGGTAGTGGGAGTGGGTTACCGTCCAAACGCCGTGCTAGAGATCTTCCGGTTGGGGCTAGGGAGAGAGAGAAAGAGAGAGAAGAAACAGTCACTGGACAGATGGGGCGCTGGTCCACCTGACTCCCTCCTGCTGCGCGACGGACCTCTTCTTCCACTGACGGGACCTCACTCATCTGCTTGGTCCTGAGAAGAGGGGGCCTGATTTCCCACTGCAGGAAAAGCCCCCAGCCTTGGTCCTGGGTAGACAGCACCCTCACCTCCCAGCCACGGCAGGTGCCTGCCTGCTGCTTCTCCCTCCCAGCCCTAGCCTGGCAGCCTCCTCTGCCACCGCTGGGCTGCAGGTCTCACCTGTTGGCCTTCAGGGTTTTCAGCCTGGCTTCCAAATCGTTCAGCAGGTTGATCTTCTTGCAGCACTGAGAGCAGTACACATCCAGCAGCTCGCTGTTGTACGCATGCCGCATCTTCCTCGGGGTCTGTCCCGCGCTGATCCAGAGCAGGGAAGAAATCACTTTCTTAGCTGCTGTCAGGCTGTGCCCTGCCCTACCCTGCCCCAAGAACTAAATGGGTCGCATGAGGAATAGAAATAAAGCAACAGCATCCCTTTCCGAGTACTCTTGAAGAGAAGAAGCTAGTGAGATATGTCCATTTAACAAACAAGGAAAACTGAGTCAATGTGAGAAGCAGTGACTCAGGTGGGTGGGAAGGGATTATAGGAAGTCACTCTGAAGAACCCTCTAACAAAGAGGTCCTAGGGAGCAGGATGACACAGAACAGCCTGGAAGTCCACTCGTCTGCCTCCCAGGTCAGTAACTGTTTCCCTTCCCAAGATGGAAGGGGAAGGAGGAACTCCAGACTCCCAATCAGGGGTCAAGGACCGAGTTCTTAACCCCCAGGAGCACACTCATGAGGCACGTGACAGCGGGAATGGCAGGGCGCTCGGGAATCTGCCTGCCTGATCCCCTGAGTGAGGCTGGACTGGCTCTACCGTTCTCTTGGACTCCAAATACCATCCCAGACAAGGGGCCACCTGGAAGACACTGAAGAGCCCAGGTCTGAGTAGACGTTGGTCCTGGTCTCGTCATCAGGGCAGGGGCTGCTGGGGGCACAGTCCACGTCATCCCCTTCGCCGTAGTCTTCAAACTGCTCCTCGTTGCTGATGAGTGAGGTGGTGGAGTGCGTGGAGAGGTCCGACGTCGTCATGGATGGAGTGTGGGCCAGGGACCTAGGGGCCACGAGCACCTGGGTTAGTGAAGGGCTAGGGGCGCCCCTCAGCACTGGGGACAGTGGGAGCCCCCTCAAGGGAACGCCTCACTACAGAAACCTTCTGCAAGAGAGAGATACAAGCCTGTGCTACCCCGAAGTAGTGAAACGCTGCTTACCGCTTAATGGTTTAACTACAAACTAGATTTAAAATTACAATCAAATTATAGTTATTCAATTAGAACACTTATTAGTGAACCAAGTTATTAGATTATCAAACAGTTGTTGAGAGGCTTATAAAAATATGGGCAATAATGTGGAGAAAGGAATATAAATTAAGTTAGATGCTTTTTTTAAAGACTGTGTATAAGCTCTCTGTGGGAGGGAGGAGAAGACATAGGAAAGATATTAAAATGGTAACAGGAAGGACTTGGATTTATGGGAGGCTGTTTCTGCCTTCTCACTTTTCCTACCTGTTTCAAGTTTTCTTTAATTAACACGCGCACCTTTTATAATGAAATGACAAATGACAACGCCATACTGGGTGAGCAGCATCTTGTGGTTTATTGGGGGATTTCCAGTCCTAAGCATCTCAATGGCAAAGAGCAGAGGTCGGAGACCTCAGGCTCTGCGCCCTCTTATGAGTGACTGGTGGCCTGGCCTCCAATTATACAGGCCTGGCCGAGCCCATCTACGATCTGAGAAGGAAGAGAAGGATAACACATCGCCTGCTGAGCAGATCTTCCCTGTCATCACTGTGCAGCAGTTTCTCTTTATTACTGCTCATAGATCACGATTTCCCCAGCTTTACTGAGCCTTCACACTCAACAAGGGGAAACCTGACCAGTGCAAGAAGCATGTCCTGGGTTAAGGCAGTAATTCTCACACCATATCCCTGAGGAACCCCAGGTTGTATCTGAGAATCACAGTGTCAATGACAGGATGCTAAAAATAAGTGTCCTGGGACAGTAGTATGTTTGCTTGTCTACCCTCAGATTCCTTAGCACTGTGGGTGGATTAATCACACTGCTCTGTTCTTTCTCTTACGGATTTTCCTAAAATTCTTGGCACCCACTGCTGGCCAGCCTCCAGGTGGTCAGTCACAGGCAACAACGTGACTGCCAAAAGGCAGATGATTTACTACAAAATCAACAGGTCAACTGGGTATAGCAGCACACGCCTATCATCTCAGCACTGAGGAGGCTGAGGCAGGAGGATCACCGTGAGTTGGAGGCTGGCCTGGCTACACACTTCAAGGCCAGCCTGAACTACATGGTGATACCTTGTCTCCAAAAGCAAAAACAATGACAACAAAAAGAGATCACCAACTCTACTGTCTACAGCTCTTCTCCTTGGGTTGGCTAATTGTAAGTACAGTAGCAGAACTGCTCCCAGGAAGCAACATGGACCCCACAATAGATAAAGCGCTCCAAAGGGCACCATCTGGAAATCATAACCCTCAGAACTGCTGCAGTTTGACAAGCCCAGCACGAAGAAAATGTGTCAGGTTAAATCACATGAAGTTACTTCTTGGAGGAAATGTGGAAAATGATTAAAAATTGGCAGTGCCATGTGGTTCAATCATAACGGAACCACCCTCTTCCCTCTCTCCTGTCACCTTCTTCTGATGCCTGGGTCACCGCCTCCAATCACCATGGATCGCCCATGGTGCTAGGGATCAAACACAGCCATGTGTATAGCCAAACACTCTAGCATGAGCTGCACCCCAGTCCACTTAATGACTAGGTCTTTTTTTTTGGCTTTTTGAGACAGGGTCTCACTATGCAGTTCAAGCTGGCCTTGAGCTCACTTTATAGCCCAGGCTGGTCTCGAACTCCCAACGATCCTCCTGCCTCAGCCTCCCAAGTGCTGGGATTACAGCCATGTGCAACCACGCCCAGCAATGATTAGGTCTTAATAATGTTTTCAGATACCTAATGAGATGTGCATGATCAATACAGAAAATATAGCAAAGCAGATGGGAGGTCATTGAAATAATCAATTATCCTATCTTCCAGAAATAACTGCTCAATTTTTAAATGAATCAAGATCATGAATCCCCTACCATAAAACAAGATCAAAACTTGACTTGGCACCGCTGCCTGTAATTCCAGAACTATTTCTACTGCTGAACACTTAGGCTGCTTAGAATTTTTTACTACGAAGAATGCACACGAAAGTCAGGCCTGTGATGTAAGTCTTGGGTGTGACTCAACATGTACTTCCCGGAAAGAACTGCATTTTGGCCCAGAGGCCACATCCTGACCTCCTTCCGGTGTCACTCACTTGTCCTCTGACAGAAACAGGCCCCCGATCCCCCGCTCCTTCTCCTCGGCGGGACTCCCGACAGACCCCTCCAGGCTCTGAGCGCCCTCCATGGGGCTGTCCGTGTCTGACTCCTGGGGGCCCTCAGGCAGGGCCAGGGTCATGGCTTCCTCCTCGTCGTCGTCGGGAAAGAAGCCAGGTTCCCTGGGGATGAGCTCGCCATCAGCGAAGGTGGGGTCCGAAACCTCGCTGCCCTGGGAAAGACATGGAACAGAATGAGCAAAGTCCGCTTGCTGGGATCAAGCGTTCCTCACCAGACTGCAAAGGCATCGACAGGCCTGGAACAGCGTGGATGGGAGCTCAGGAAGGCCAAGAACCTGACGCCCCAAGTATGAGAAAGGCTAGAAGGTGGCTAGTCTTGGGGGCCTCACACTGGGAGAAGCTGGACGTCAGACAGACAGTACCCATGGAGAGGGGATGCAGCCAGGCCAGCCACAGCCGTCGGGGCCCCCAGCCAGCACACTGGCCTCATCAGTCTGCATGGGACGCCAAGTGACTCGAAGAAGGTGTCTTGGTGACCTGCATTAGGGACACAGCCACGCTGAGTGGCCTTCAGAACAACCTTGGCCTCACAGCGTCTAATGCAGCATGGCAGAGGTTAAATCTGCCCAGCTTAGGACCCACCCTCCAGGACTGCATGTCACGGAACCTCATTCTCTCCACGGTAAAGCAAGCATGCCAAGGAGTTTGACAGGGCCATGGGGCCCGCTGAATGAGGTATTTCAGTTAGCCCCAGGCACACAGTAGGACCTCAATGTATACATTCTGGCCAGAAGATGTGATGCCAGCTGGGTAGACGAGTGACAACTTTGGCTCTGGCACAGCCATACTAGGGAGAAGAACCCCAGGCCTGGGCCAGGTGCGGTGGCGCACGCCTGTAATCCCAGGCCTCAGGAGGCTAAGGCAGGAGGATTGATGCAAGTTCGAGACCAGCCTGGGCTACAAAGTGAGTTCAAGGCCAGCGTGAACTACATAACGAGACTCTGCCTCAAAAAGCCAAAAAAAAAAAAAAAGGAAAAGAACCCTAAGTCTTTCACTTCTGAGCTCTGGCTCACACTTGCTCATTCGGGGTCCGGTGCACAGCACAGCACTGCACAACGCTGGAGTACAATAAAGAAGCACATGTGCCTTTTCCTGGTGCCGGCTCAGAGAAGGGCTCTGGCTCTGCTCCTCAGAGTTCACCCCAATGGCAGGAGCAGCTGCTGACGAACTATCCTTGGGCCTGCTTTGCTTCTGAGGAGGCAGGCACTTCCCAGGTGGCTCTGCATCTATCTGTTCCCCTGGGGGATGGTCCCAAACGTTCTGTGTGTGCTCCTTGGCTGGCACAATGCCCTATAAAAGTGCTTCCCTCATCCCAGATTGCAAGAACGGTACCAGAAATGAGGGCTGTGAAAAGCCTCTGCCAGCCTCAGACAAGAACAGGTTCCAGGGCAACCCGTGTGGGACCCCTCCTGTCTTCCTTTCCCCAGTAACACTTGCCTACTGAAACAGGAAAGAGAAGAGAAGAACAGGTTCCAGGATATGTGAGGAAGGAGACAGGTGTGGATGTGCTGGCCGGACACATGCAGCCCTGGGGGTCTGTCCCCAGCAGGAAACCCCTGGGCTAAGAACAGGTGGCGATTTATGAGCTGGGCTCCTGCTTGCTCCGTAATACAGGCTGGGCACCAAATGGGCCAAGCAAGCTGGCATCAGGCACCCGTGACTGCGGACCAGGTGCTGAGTAATTAAATCACCCTAACCCTTACAGGTCCTCTCCACCTAGACGTCACTAATCTGATCCCACACGGCTGCAAACTTATCAGACCTTGCCCCTGACCAAGTGCTTCACCAGCCAGCATGAAGCTGCATCCAATGGAAACAAGAGGAAACCAACATTGTCAAACACCCACCTTGTTCCACAGACAGAACTTGAGCGTTCGTATTTTATCCCATTTGCACTTCCTAGCAACCTCCAAGACACGTAACGTAAGTCCCACTTTACAGGTAAGGAAACAGGCTCTGAGAATAGCTTGGCAGAGTCCTTTGATCAAGTAGCCTGAAGACCTCGCCTGCTCCTGCTGTCCCACCCTTGCTTCCACTTGTCACCGATGTCTCCATTCCTCACGCATTTTCAAACCTCAGAGTAACAAGGAGGAGACGCGCTTTATAATCACGTCACTCACTGTGATGCCCAGACGTTCTGCACATGCAGCAACTTCCACACCCACCTGCTGCCAACGCCACATGAGACCCTGGTTAGCCAAGGAAACTCAAGAGAAACGAAGGGGAGGCTGCCCACCTGCAAAGGGAGCCAGGGCTCAAGGGGGGGGCAGTGCGCATGGTCCATGTCCTCACCTGGCCATGAAGAACCGCAAACCTCACCCCACTGCCCACACAGGCAGGAGCTGACAGACAAGCTCGGCCACTTGGCCAAGGCCTTTCTTCCCGTCTTCACCACAGCCCTATGACCAGGGCTCCTTCCCCGCTTTTGGTAGGCAAAGAGCATTGCCCGGGATGGTGGAGACTGGGACCAGAGTGTGTGCACAGACCATCACCTCGTCTCCCCCACACCTGGGGTTCTGAGGAAGCTGCAGTCCACCTGGCTCCCAGAAAGCAGGCAGTGTCACCCAGGTGTCTGGCCGGGCTTTGGGCAGCTAGGTTTGGCTGCCTGGACACAGATCCAGGGTTTATGTGGCACAATCTGCCCAATGGTAAACCCACTCACGGTACTCCGCAGGTGGGATCCATCAGCCCCTCACCCAACAACCCACAGCAGTGCAGCGATGCACCTACAGGCTGGCCTGAGCTCCTGACAGGCGACAAGAGTGGCCTCAAGGGGCCTAACTGTCACAGGTAGGCAGAAGGGGCACAAATGTCCCACCCTCCAGTAAGACCAGCTCCTCCTTGGCAGATCTTGAGTCCACACCTGCCTGGCCTCTACCTTTCACAAAGTGCCCTGTCTGTCCATCTCTCACAGCAGCCCCAGGAGGGTTCTGTGATGCTGCATTCATTTGTCTCTGACACTGGGGGGGGGGTTTCTGCCCTGAACGTCCCAGCTCTGAGGACTCAGCTGAGACATGAAGCCAGGCTCAGACACGCAAGGTCAGGCCTTCATCCACCTTCTGCCTACACTCACACTCACTCCAGCTTTACCTCTCAAAATTAGCTACTTCCTCCATTAACACCTTTTCCTTCAACCCACAATTGTTTGCCCAAAGCAAGTGGAAATTTTAATTATAACTTCAAAGCCATTTCTCATATTTACCCTAAATTAAAAGAGAGTTATTAACACAGCTGTAAGAAAAGTAACTGTATACCTTGCTTAGTTCAGGACAGTACCCGTTTGTTCAGTCCCAAAACCCTTTCAGTCTGCAACTGTCCTGGACAAAAGCTTTCCTGTTCACCCTGGCTCCTCCCTGCAGGCCACAGTCCCTGGCCTTAGCTGATTCCCTGGATCCCTGGGGAAGGCCTGGGTGGAGCCACCAGCACATTCTCCTGGTGGGGCTGGGAGGGAACTGCCAGATGCAGGCAGCCTGCTCTGCTCCCCCACACCTCAGGCAGCTGGGTGGGGAGCACTGGAAGGTGGCTCCTATCCTTCCCTGGCCACTCCTTACTGGCTGGGGAACTTGAGCCAGTGTCTCTGTTACGTTTTTAAAAGTTGCATAGGAAGAAGGAGAAGTGGTCCATAATGAAGTCACCCTCACAAGGTGTTGGGTGGCTGGGGCTACGGGCTTTCTGAGGCTGTGACCCTCCAGGCAGGCCACCTGCGTGGGTGGCTGACACACAGAGCACCTGTGTGCAGCTCCTGAAAAGGCTGCCTTGTGGTGTGCGCCCCGGAGATCTTTGGAGGATGTGGAGGGTCGGAAGATGAAGCTGCCTGGGGGAGGTTAGGTAACTTCTATTCAGGTGGATGCAAAACGCCAGCCTCATTCCCAGGCAAACCCAGGGCTGATTCTGGTGAGGGGACTCCAGGCTGTGGCAGCCCTCAGCATATCGGAGGTCCTTCCCACAAGAGCTGGGGGCAGCAGCAGAGAGGATGGCACTGTCCTACCTCATCTTCCTGCCAGAGGCCAAGAGACCTGCTCTGTCTACCCAGAGCGGTGCTTTGTGCCTCCCAGATCCCAAAGGCTCTCAAAGGCTGGCAGAATCTCAGGCAGAGAACGGGCTTCCCCAGAGCCCAGGTTTCCAGGCATCCAGGTGTCAGTGAACAAGGCTGCAGCCCACGGTAGCTTCTGACACTGCCCCTCAGAGCTCCCCTTTCCTGAACTCTTTTCCTAGTGTGTGAAACAACTATTTGTGTAAGACTTTCCAGTCACCATCCAGCAGCCCTAGCACTGGGGAGAGGTCGGGCATTGAGCTTAGTAAGAACTCAGGCTTGCACAAAAAGCTGTGGCTGGGCTTCTGGGGAGACTTCAGGTAAGGGACGGTGCACTGGGAATTGTGCATGGCCCAATGTGACTCCCCCGGGCTCTGGTCCTGGAGACCTAGAGGGCCCTGAGCACAGGGTTCCTATCCTCCTAGGGCCCAGGGCCAGCTCCCATGGGCCACATGGGCTTAGCTGATTTATGTCCACAGTGCCCCAAGTTCACCTCATTCCTATGTCAGGGCTCCCAACATCCAAAGAGACAGAGCAGATGCAGTGTGTCCCTCTACAAACCTGGGGGCTGCTGTGGGTGGGGCCGGGTGAGGGCTTGGCACTAGAGCCTGGTAGATGAGAAACTTACAAGCTGTGTGCACCTAAGACCTTCCCTACAGAGTAAGGACTCTCAACTCTACCTCAAAGGCTACTCCAGGGCCACACAAGACAATTTCACAAGCATCAGACAATAGCTGTGGGAGCTTAAGTCCTTATCTGGCCTCCGGAAGGGCTGTGTGCGGTGGTGGCTGAGCCACCCCTGCAGCCAGGGTCCCCAGCTGGTCAACCAGCAATGTACCGACAGGCAGACAGCCAAGCTAGGGGTTTTTACAAAGAGGTCCGAGGCACAAGGCTGGGGAAACAGGATTTAGCTGGCTGCCCCAGCAGGGCAGGTCTGTGCCACCAGGGCCCTGTGCTGCTGCTGTGTCCCCACCTCTACTTCTCCACCCTGTGTCCAGCTGGGGCTGGACAGAGCTGGGCCCCACTGGAGCGGGAGCCTGGAGGCACACGGGCTGCCCGCGGGGATCCTCTGCAGTCTCGAGAGCCATGTCCACCCGCCAGCAGGCCCCAACATCACCT